GTCCCGCGCGAGCTGAGTGCGCGGGGCGCGCTCTGCCCGCCGCCGCCCGTGCGACGCTGGGGCATGTGGCGCCTTAGGCGCTGTAAGGGGACTGTGTAGGTAAATTGGGTCGGGGGCGTGGTGCATTATTCTGGGCCCGGGAGCCATTTCCTTGGCCGTGACAGTACTGGAGACTGACGGTGTCCTTCTGCTTGAAGTCCCGCGTTAACCCAGTGGTCCTGGGGACCCCACGTTTCCCAGGGAAACTTGTTAAAATGAGATCGGAAGTCCCTTTGGGGTATTTATCACAGGCGCTGATAGGGTTAGACTCCCTCTCTTCGTGTGCTCGTTTGTGACTCAAGTATTTGTCACTGCACAGACCGTACTACAATCTGTTTACGGGAGCCTGGCCATGAGGAGCTGTGTTAGTTTCTGTGTTTCTATATTCCCGGGCCCCGGCACAGAGTAGGTCCGCAACTTCTGGTCGGCTGTAGGCGGAGGCACAAATCCAAATGCAGTGAGTTACTCTGCAATGTATTTAAAGTTGTTAACTGGAAGTATCCTACCAACGTAGACAACGCCTACCTTAAAAAAACAAAACAAAAAAGCAACACTGCAAAAACACTGCCAGGTCAACCGGCGGGTGAGATGAGAAATGGAAACTAAAATACTTAAATACCGAACTGTCTTTTCCGACTGTCAATGTAATAATTTGAAAAGGGAAAGGTCAGTGTGTATTGGAATAAACAAGAGTGTCACAGAGGGGGTGGGATTTGAGTTGGGTAAGTAGATAAGAAGAGAACTCTCCAGGCAAGGGATGAACAAACATGACCACAGACAGCAGTGGAAATGGACATGGTTTGCACCGCCCAACCGGAAGGGGCAGGTTGGGGTACAGGTGAAAATAAGACAGAATAAAGAGTGAGGCTAAACAAGCAAGGAGAATGTCATTTAAATGCAGTGGGCTCTAGAAATCACTGGGGCCTGGTGGAGTTGAGAGATACCTTGCGGACTTGGTCTGGCAGGAGCATCCACACGGGACTCCGAGGAAGATGGACTACCAGGGAGACAAGAGGACACTGCAGTGAAAGGAAAGGAGATGATGACAGAATTCTCAGAAAAGAAGATGGATATTGGTAGTCAGTTGGAAAATGCCTTTTCAAAAACAGCAGAGGATTTTAGCGGCAGTGGTGAATTTAGATCGGTGTCTTTATGTTTCAAGTAACTGGTATGTTGAGAGGTGCCTGAAAAGACCATTGAGAAGCAAGGGTTCTAGGGGCAGTGGCTTACGAAGACATTTTTCTTTTATGGGCATGTCTGAAGCTCTGTGACAGTCGATGCCAAAACACTGTCCCTAGATCTAAGGAGATACATGAGATGATCTCATCTGGGTTTGAAACAGGCTGGTCACCCTGGATTTCAGTATCAGGTAAAGTTAAAGCAAAGCACACACATAGTATGGGGAAATTTTCTTCATTTTTAATTTACAGCAGAAAGAATATAAAGCATTCAGAAAACATTTTCCATATTTTAAGGGCAATTCAAAACATTTTGCATGGTTTCCAGCAGCTGAGTTCTTCAACAGATCCATTGATTCAATGATGCTTCACATGCACAATTACAAAAATAAAACTTACAAAAAAGAAGACATCTAGACTAGTTTTACATGCAAGTCTCAGGGACCCCCCATTGGGCGCCAACTACTGTGTGGAACTGCCATAAGCGACCGTGCAGCCAGAGAGGGGTCCGAGTTATTGTCTTTATTTCGTTCACACAGTACAGCTGATTTCAAATGGGTAACAAGAATAGCAATTAAATCCTCAGGAGACAGAATAAGATTAGCTATTAATTTTATAATGAAGTCCTACTCCTGGCACTTGGGAATTCAGATTATCCAAGAAAGCTGCGCTTACCTATCGTCTTATATTCAAAATTAAGATTCACAACCAAGGAAAAGCGGTCAGAAAGGCGTCGTTTCAGTGGAAGTGCATTCGTACCTCACCTAGGATTTAGTTGTACTGGCAGGCTACACCGGTAGGTTCTGAACCTACTTCCTATCCTCTCCGTAAGAACCCTCCTAATTCTATGTTAAGTCTTTATCTTCCAGAAGTTTCTAACTTACTTGGCTAATAATGTAGCATGGGAGACATTAAAAAAAAAAAAATGAGTAACTTAATGTGAGGGTTAACGCAAATCCACTGAGGTCATTACTCTTGTCAAAAGATCAGTTATTTGTACCATAATAAATGGAATAAACGTATCTAAATTCAGTACTAATATGGGATATCCTGAAAGAGCTGGCTTTCACCTTCCTATTCCCATTTACCATACATTTGTGTGTTTGTAAATTACTCAGTGTCCTCCTACAGGTCAAATTGGGTAAAATAATAGGCATTTCAGGGTGGGGAGGGCAACAGCTGCAAAATAACCCACACATTTAAAAACAAAATCGAGCCAGGTCAGTTTACAAATGTACAGGTGGCTACTGGTTGTGGGGCCGTCACTTGTCAAAGCTGATCACAAGCGGTAAGACATATACTGTACAGTAATCCGAGGTTGGCAGTGAAAGGAAGTAATTAAAAAACAAGTACAATTATAGAAAAGGCACCAAGAGCACTGACCCCAGTTTTTACCACAATCTTTTTGTATCTACCTTCCTTCTAAAGACACCAGTTTAAAAGCTTATTTGTGAATATTTTTAGGCTTCACAACGAGCCTTGAGCTTTAACTTACAGTTGGCAGCCAGAACCAAGAAAAAAACAAAACAAAACTGTTATCTCAGCTTTACACCAACTGATCCTGAAACTTTACCTGGGAATTTTAAACTGGCATCAGCAAATGCGAACTTTATTCTCTCAATTTAACGTTAGTAGTTTAATTTTTAAAAGCATCAGATTTCTTTGGCTCCTCATTGTATGGAAAGAGTAATAGACCAGGACAACCCTACGAGACCAGTTTGCATCTTTTAAATTTTTAGTTACTTTTGTGCAATTTTTGATATATTTTCTGATTTCCAGCAGGAGATATGAAAAACGTGAGACGTTTTCCTACTTTTCATACTATTTCTTTTGTCAGGTTTTGATCGTTCTAAGTGTTCTTTGTTGGAGTGAGTGGATGGTGTTAAGCTATACACAGATTCATCTTATGATTATCTGTTTAGCAAAAGTAACTTAATTTTCTTAAGCAATATTAGCATTCACATTACTTGGCACCGTTGGCAAAAAAATTTTAAATTAAATAAAATAAACTCCTGGTAGCCAAAATTAAATGTAAACATATCCTTTTTTTTTTTTTTAAGTAATGTTACTCTGCCTTTTATCCTAAGTCTAAATACAGTAGCTCTTTTTTTTGTTTTTTGTTTTTTGCAGTTTAGTCATGCTTTAGCAAAATGTTCTTCTAAAGAACATTTAAAATAAAGTACTCTTATAGTGAAATAAAGTTTTTTTTGTTTCATTTTACAGACCATAGCCACTAATGCTTTGCTTTTGTTCATTTCTTTTTTCTTGATTTCATGCACATATCTCTTTGTTTTAATATATACAATATATACAAACAATACATCCACATTTTTTCTCGCTCGTTCAGACAAAACTATACAAATAATTTTATCTTGCCATGTTATTGACCTTTGTGAATAAAATATTTAGCAATTAATATAATCCCTTTCAAATATTTTCTCACTTTCCGTTTCTACCTTTTATATATACACAGAAACTGCTCAGTTTGGATGAGATTATAGCCAAAAATATGGAATTTACTGGCCAGAACGCAGCACCACACTGATCTTTTAGGTGGCAAATGTCCAGGCAAGGTTTATGATTCCTTAGAATGACTACAGTTTCCAAGGTTACTAAAAAAGGCTCCATGCTGTACCAATTCTCTAAGTAAATCTCATTGCACATGAAAGTAAGGCCCAAAAATTAAAGTGCTGAGCATGACAAAAGGGACAAGATGATCACTATACTCGCAGGTTCTTGGGAGGTGGTGGGGACAAGAAAATAAATTTAAACTCTGTAAGCTGTTTCTCATTAGTTCCCATGCATTACCCGTTTACCACACACCCGCCCCTCTGCAAATTTCCACAAGACATTAAAAACCTGCAGATTTTAAAAGTTGCATTAAGTGTGCTGTAGAGATTAAAACAAACACAAATTAAAATAAAATAAGATCAGTGAAGGAAATGAGAACACACGGACCCAATAAAGATTTGTATGATCTAAGCCCTCCACTGAGAATCAATCCCAAAGATTCAGCTTCTTGGAAGTAACTGACAGGTGCAGGAGCAGCATTCTCTTTTGTTGCTAGTGCATCCCCACCTTTGCTTGTCTATATTTTTGGTATAAATATTTGTACAGTTCCACACGATGTTTGAATACAGCCCTATATGAGAAGGAAACTGGCTTCTTCCTAAGAAGAGGAAGCCTCTTCCAATTCCTCGTGGTGTCTTGTTTTCCCATGATCCAACAGAAGATTGAGTTCCAAGATGTCTTGCTGATCAAATTAAAAGTTGTCCATGAAAGTGCAGATGCAATGACCAACACATTCCTGTTAAAATCCTGCAGCTGATCTCCCCAAAACTGCAGAGGGATTGTGTGTGTGCGTGTGTGTGCGTGCGTGTGCGTGTCGTTGCTGTCTCTGCTAAAAACAGAAATGAAAACAGTCTGAAAAGCAATGTCACATTGCTAAGGGATGCTGCTGTATGTCTTCAAGTTCCTTGGCCTTTCTCAACTCTTTCACTCTGGAAGAGAAACAGAACAGAACACCAGGTGATAGCTATATAGTGAAACTGTGGCCAGGTGAGGGCAAGGCCATTACCATTCCCTCTGAAGTGAAAAACCAAGACAAAACCCTTGGGAACACTGATGGCAAAAGAAACTCCTGCTACACTACTGAGGGAAATATTCCAGGAGGAAGACATGACCCTTCCTGAAACTCTACTCTGCAGCGAGTGCTCCTAACACAAAGCAAAACCGAAGTCTACAGCATTAAGTCACGTGTGACAGCAACGTGTTCATCTTAGGAAGAGTTAACTGTTCACCTAGCTTTCCTCTTTAGCCTGGTAGGACCACCATTAATGGCCGGCAATCCCACAGGAGGCAAGTTAGGGAAACTGCACACACACTTACTTCGCGTCTGACACACCCAGGGATTGAACTGCTTTGCTCACAGACTCAAGACCGTCGGTATCTTGAAGCCGATTGGACGCCTGCACAGCTCGACTACTGCGCTCGCAGTATTGTGGAGTCTTTCTGATTTTCGTTATTCCTTACCTTCCTCCCATTCCACATTGTAACTCTACAAGATGTTCAGGTCACTTCCCCTAGTGCTCCCAGATGGACAGCAACGGGGTGCGTACCAAGCAGGTACACTTTGTGCTATTTATCCAACATGTTGTAGCAAACACATTTAAATGAAATTGTTATCATCAGAGTCATGGGAAGTTCACATCAGCAAATTACGTGTTAATGATCCCCTCCGGTCTATAGTTTTCAAAATAAAACTTTGTCTTGGGTTTTGCATATGGCCACCTGATGTAGGTGGAGTGCCAGGGAAGGGGTTGTAAGCTAGATTATTTCCTTTTAGTGACAAATAATGAAGATCTTGCCTTAATAGCAAAATCATCAAATGCGAGTGTGGCTTCAGGGTCTAAGTCCTGAAGGCAGCATGTGTGGTACAAGGCAGACAGCGTGTAGCTCTGCATACCGTATAGTAACATTTGTTTCCCAAAACGGGGCTGGGAGAATGGGTTTAGGCAAACAGAAGCGGCAGTTTCTCGGGACACGTATACCCTACACCTCAACAGTGCAACAAGAAAAGGTCTCATCTGTTTTTCTCACGTGGGCCTATAAGGGGTCAGTAATCCCCCAAACACAGTTTTCTGATTCTCTAAGGATAAGGTTTCTGCTGTTATCTTAAGTGATACCAGTCAATTTAAATTCTATTCTAAAACAAATGCCACTTTACTTTCTAAGATTCTTGTTAACACTCAGGGGGAAGAAAACATTTTGAAAAGTAGTAGGAAGTTGCTAATATTACACAGGCTGGGATTCAAAGGCCTGGCACATACGCTGTTATAGCAATTTAAGGAAATTTACCACCTCCAAGCAGAATCATTTCTGAGTATTCTGCAACGTTGCTACAATCTCTTCAAAGAGTAGTTGCTCTCTTTCAGAAAAAAAGCTTTATTATTTTATCATTAATACTGAAAAGAATTATCATGTTTGAAAACTTGCTTATTTGCCTGACTTATTTACTAAATACACCAGGTCCAGCTTGATCAACACTGTATCTTCCAAACTGCTGAAATCCTTCCTTCTTAACAGGTACATTTAGAACACATTGCTCTGTTCATAACTGGATCCAGGTATTATTTAGTTTTAAACTTTATAATTAAATATACCATGGATTAAGTTTTAGAGTAATTTGGATCGTATTACAGTACAGAATTGTGCATTATAGGTCCCTAATTTTGGACATGCATACTTGATAAATAAATGGCTTTTTAAAAATTGAAACATGCTATATTGTGTGTTCAATTTTTAAACATGCAATATCTATACTAACAGCCCTTTGGCTGGAAAAATGCAAGGCATGCATTGATGCCACCTTTACTTCCGGGCATGCAAAATATCTGTACTTGTGCAGACCCAGTTGCTGAATCACCGCAAAATGTGCATGCTCCTTCAAATGCGACATTTTATTTCTGCACCAGTACAGAACTCATTCACAGATATGCAAGAGTGACTCCATCACCGATGAGATTTCTAGAATCTGAAGAATTCTGAACTCAAAATCTGACAGCATAAACACAGATATCCACCCACAGTTTTTCTAGAGTGAAGAGGAACACTTTAAAAAGATTAAGTTCATCATTGAGATGAAAGAAAAAGGAGAGTGAATTATAAGCCAGAAATGTTTCATACAGTCTCATACCAAAGAAGCTGTAATCAGCTGGTCATAGTGGGTAAATCTTAAACGTTTTTCTTTTAGTTAAAATGGTCACATTTGTTTTTGCAGGGTTTTTTTTTTTTTTAATTTCTTTTGAAACTAATTAAAAAGTCAACTAAGTTTTCATGAGGTTTCAAAGTCACCATGTAAATACTCTGCTATAAACTAGCGATAGCCTCGCATGGCTCTAGGTTAAGGAGAGATGCATGTCCACACACAGAGATGACTACGATCATCTACACTGGAAAAAGGAGACGCCCTGATCTCCGACATGATTTCTAGGCTTTCATCACTCCTGAGCTATGGTGGATAACTTAGTTCTCAGTTTCAGGACGAGGTTTTTACAGTACGTTAGCATGATAAATGATACCCGAATGGCTTCAATGGCATAGTTGTTTTTTTTTTTAACAGAAAGATGTTCAGGAGGAATTAGGGAAGAGGAAGAGAAGGCTTCTGATCCAATGGCCGTACAGGCTTAGGATTTGTTACCTCGTTTAGTCCTCCCAACACATCCCCATTCTCTCCAGTTTGTAAATGCAGAACCTGAGATTTATAGCAATGAAGCAACCTGCCTCAAATAATTCAGTTAACAAGTGGCAGAGTGGGGATTTGAGCCCAGGCCTGTCTGACTTCACCTCTCCACCCTGCTGCCTCCAACATACCTCAGGAGGACAAAACAATGAGGAAAAAAAACTGTTACTGTATCGGTTTTTCCGAAGGCATTTGGAAAATCTCCATGGCATGAGAGGCGTACATTTTTGAAAACTGGTAACAACTAACACCTATATTCCTAACAATTATATTTCCTCAACTCTGAGACGCTGTCCCTTATGAGACCTTACGTTGATTTTACTATGGTGTTTGGGAGAACAAACATTCCTCCACTTAAAATGCACTTATCAATTTTATAAAATGGATCTGAGATCTGAAAATAGTGGGAATAAGAATCAAGGAAAGGGAAGATTTTTATCCTCCTCCAATGTCCAATTGGCAGACTACATGGATGTCAATTTACCTCTCAATGTTTAGATGAAATTGGGAGACTTTTACAATCTGCCCTACTGAAGTCATAAATGGAGTTCTAAATTACTTGAGGGCAGATTATTAGGATAGACTAGAGGTACCTACTTTTTAATTTTATTTTGTTTTAAGTCAAATGTCAACTGGACAAAAAGTAATGTCTGAATGATCTATTGCCTCTAAAGAAACACACAACAATTAACTATATCACTGAAGTAATTTAGAACATTTGATACTCAAATTTTTGTTAGCAAATCTTAAAAAACAGATGTTTCCAATAGTTACAGAAATTTGTTGTTGCCTTGTCTCTGTCAGGACATGAATAACCACTAAAAGGCACGTGTTAACTACATATAACATCTGCCACGAGAAGGGTCATAAAAGTTTAGCTGTTATTACCTCTGGGCTTTTCTCCTGGCTTACTTATATTTCCAAAATGTGCTACAAGGAGTACACTTCTTCTGTAATAATTATTCCTGCTCGTCATTCTCCAAAAAAAAAAAAAAAAGTTTATGTTTTTCTATCCATCTGTTACTACTACACGTCTCACAAATGTTGCATTCACATGACACAAAACACCCAACTGAAAAATTCAATGGAGAAAAAAAAATTCAATTTTATAGTCCAAAACCAACAATCAACTAAGTGAACCGGGGTCATCAATACTACCTGCATTATGAGCCTATTTTTTTTCAGCACACAACTTGGTAAATAGAGACCAGAATTTTTGAAGTTGGAATTATGCTTGAAAATCCAGTCACTGTATTTATAGAGCTTAGAATACAGATGTTCAATAAACTTCTGTTGTGTGGTATGTGCTATCTACATGCAGCTAATGGTTCCTGAGGTTTGGGTTCTCTAAAGGAATTACACCTGCGAGATTCATTCAGGGCCAATAAAGAACCTAAGAATGTCCTGGTCATCTAAAAACAAACCCCCTTATGATTACGCTTGCTTCTGAACTTCCCCATGCAGAAGACAGGCAAAGCAGCCTTCCGTGGGACGGGACAGACAATTAACTGGGACAGAGACTACAACTTCTGTAGCTACAAGGCTCTCACTACCGTATGGAGAGCTGCAAGGAGCACAGTTCTCAGCCTCCCGAAAGTACCTTGGAAAACAGTACTCCTACGACTGACTTGGCGTTGAGGTAATTAGGGGAGCAAGACTTTGACCTGTGACCATTCAACTGTAAAAATTGGAGACAAATCCTGGATTTGCCCAAGCATTCTAGGCTGAAAATGATCGCCACTTTGGGATACTGCTGTAGTCTCAACAACAAGAAAAACGAAACAAAACAAAAAAATAAAAACAAAACAAACCCCCCCAGACCCCCCAAAAACCAACCCCCCAAACAAAAAACAAAACCGAAGAAAAAACAACAACAACAAAAAAACGAATGTTGCATTCTAATGTACTGAAGTGATGTAGTAAGCAACAGCACTGAAAGCCAGCAAAAGCCCACAGGGTTTATTTCCGTCAGACGTCCAATGATAATTCATGAATAAATGAAGTAGGCCTGCTTCCGAAACTTGTAGCAAACAATGGCTCCATGGGTAAAGCATAAGGCAAAGCTGTTTCATTACATCTACTCAGGAACGCTCAGCCAGAGAAATGTTTCATGAGTCAGTGGATTTTAGCAGGTATATTCTTGCAATGCTGGACGTCAAAAATATACAGGGCAGCCAGATGCGGCTTTCTGATTAGTTACCTGTTGCTCTGAGAGCTGCAATAGCTCGTGGGGAATTTAGGAAAAGAGAGATCTTGCCATTTTCCAGAAATCTCATTTGGATTGCAAAACAAAAAAGACAGAGAGGCCCAATAAGAATGACACAGAGCATGTTGTCTGCAATTTAACACACACCACTGTGTTCCAAAAATATTCATTTCCTAAAAGAGGCAAGTAAGACAAAATTACTTTGGATATTTGAATTACATCCATGGTGACACATCCCACACATTCATTTCCTACTCCTCACCAAATATATTGGGCCCCATTTGGGAACTATGCCTCATGTCAACTAAGGAAGCGTGATGTCACCGTGGTTGACCTAGAGCACTGTCTACTTCTCTCCATTAAGCAGCACACTTCCAGGCATCGTTAAGAGAATTGTTCCTTGGATTAAAGTATACACAACAAAGCAAAAAGTGTAAGTGTAACCTGCAGAGCTTGATAATGACCCGCTGAAGAGATTTCACAGGACTGCTCTCAAGAGTCAACGCTGAAATCACTACTTACCCAGATAACTGGCACCATCTGGCCAAGTTAAGTGTTTGGAAACCCAGTTGTCAAATACAGAGAAAATCTGTTGCCTAGAAATTTGTGACCAGACAGTGTTACCTCTTCTTCTTCTTCCAATTAGGGTTCTTTCATGACAGTAGGATAGCTTTGCCCACTTTTACTGAACACAGGTACTGGGCCAGCAACTTACAAAAACAGGTTATTGGGAAACCAGAATTCCCACTGTTTAGGATAGTGCCTGTAGTACCTGTTCTAGGTGGTAAAGCCCTCTCACGGAAATATTATCCCAGCGGAAAAAAGGAATCTGTCTAGGAATCGCTTTTCAGAGAGTAGTCTCTCTGATCTGCGAGCACACTTCCTAATACCCACAAAACCCAAATATCTTAAAGATAGAAGTGGAAAGCCATTTTCCAGCTAGAAAAAGAGGAATTGCCCTGTTTAGTTTCAGTACCCGGAGGATGAATCTGTCAGGTAATTCAGGTATTTGTTATTTCTTGACATATGAGGTAACTTGGTTTTCTGCTAGGACCCTAAATAGCACCCTGTTCAATATACTCGAAGCCCAGCTGGGGAGCAGGGTTTTCAGCAATGTGCACCTCAAAGACTTCTTCAATCTCAGAAATCCTCCAGTCATTTTTTTTGTGAAAGTAGTAGAACACCTAAATTAACCGAAATAATAATTAAGACTGTTGATTTAAATATCTCTGTGCATAACAGAAGTTTTCTTTTAAATAGGACAGTTATTGTATCCAAGACAAAACAAATCTCTGCAAGAGTTCTTGAGAATTTGGAAACTCTATTTTATGTGGGTAAACTAGGGGCTAAGCCTGGATGAAAGGCTGTGTGAAAATAAGCTGATGCGGTGAAGGGCATTTGGGGCTTTTTCTTTGCCTTCCCCAAGTGAAGACTAAAAACTGGAAGACACGATGATATTTTCTGATTGCTATGCTCCTGGAATTAGCCTACTGTGCCTTAATTCTGATGACCGACATCACCTGCCTTTCTAGATAGCCTTCTGCTTCATCCATCTAGGAGGCAGGGTTCAATAATGTCTGACAAACGCTGCACAACAAAATTTAATTCCTTCAGTTTTCAAATATTATCTTTTGATGTATCAAGCTTAAATGTCTTAAATATGGTATACTTCATACATTAATAAAATAAGTATATTAACTTCTTTGACACAAACTCCAGGAATTGACATAAACTCCAGGAACTTTCCTCGGAGAATGCTCTGCCTCCCAAGAGTCATTTCAACTTGGGGACTGTTGGCGGAAGGGCCCCTGTGGCTTCTCTGATGGAACAGAGAGAGAGGGAGATCTTACTGGTAATTAGAGCCACGGGGAGAGAAACAGTACCACTCTAGAATGAACCTGCGCTGCTCAGCTCCTATCTCTCAAACTCCCTGGAGACTGCAGGTGCAGGCGTGTCAGGGGATTCCAACCTTCCACGCCCCGGGGGGGAGTTTTAGGAGCTTATGATGGAATGCAGCAGGTGCTAAAGAAGCTAAGGTAGGGATTCTGGTGTTGAAGAGCATCTTTGGAAAATGTACTCTTAAAAATGATCACTGACATATCAGAAGCGAACAAGTCTCAAAAGTGCATAAGCAACCATTTTTACTAAATGTTGGTTCCCTGTGGTGACTGTTAATGGCACAGGCAAGATACTACAACTTTTAGCTCAACTGAATCCTAGGTCATGCGTCTGCTCTTTGGGAGGTGCTTTTAAGTGGAAAGAAATAGTATCTGTGTATGCAGGCAGTGAGAAGGAACAGAAAGAGAAAGAAATGGAGATTTGTGTCCCTTTTACTCTTATGTTTTAAACACTGTCTCCGAGCCAGCTCTACTACACGGGGCAACTGTAAACAACTGCCTGGTTCTCAAGAGGACTAACTGGTTAAATTTACAGAAGAGTGTAGCTGCTTCATTTTTTTAAAAATACATTTTCTTTCAGTGACTATCCATGGTTTTAACCAGGTGAGACTTTGAGTCTTCTATAGGGATAGAATCTTGTTTTAGAAAGAACTTATAAAAACTCAATTCTCCTGTCATCGTCAGTCAGCAAACTACAGCCCACGGGCCAAATCTAGCCCGATGAGTATCTGTGTAAATAAAGTTTTATTGGCACACTAGCCATAACCATTCATGGACGTATTAGCTACGGGCACGTGCACGCTCCAATGGCAGAGCTGAGTAGCTGTGACGGCGACCGTGCGGCCCACAGAGCCCAAGGTATTTACTAGCTTACTAAAGCCTCTTAAGCAAAAGTTAGCTGGCCTTTGACATAAAATATAACGAGCAAAATACCAGGATCCACATAAATGTACTTGGATGAAAAATATGAGCTCCAGAAACACTAGAAGTTTTAGATTTTTTGAATTATAATCTCTTCTCTGAAATCCTAAACATGACTCCAGTATTACTGTAGGGTTAGGAAGGGAGGGCGTTGAATGTGGTTGAGTTGGCAGAGGTAACTCCGTGTTAATTTTTTAAGTGCATCTTAAGTCTATCGGACAAAAGTTGTCAAATTAATCCACATTCAAATAGGATTTTGGTGAGTGGTATTCCTGGCTTTTAAATCAATTTCCTGACCCTAAATCCTTTACTGTAACTTCTGGCATGTCATAGTCCCATGTGACAGAGACTTCTGCCTCTTGGGCATACCTACAAATCAGCGTCCTATTCTAAAATCTCAAGGACATCAATAGCGTCTACCGGATACCTCTCCATTATCATTTCTTTAAAATACAAATTCTATTGGAACATCCCGTCTTCGTTGCAACATAGGATATACAGACTTAAGACACTTTACACCACGTTGTCTTTATTCAGCATTGCCGTTAAATTCTGGAAGTCAAGTTTGCTCGCTGTGTTATAATGAACGCCCTGCATTGCTTCTGAAAGGGCAGCTTCGTGTGCTGACTTACCTCACGGCACCAGGGAAAGGGAGATTTAGAAAATGAAACTAGAGGAACAGGGTAACGGGGAAATAGTAACTCTAAATAAGAAATGGATTCATTAAAAAAATAAAATAAAAAAAGGAAAAAAAAAAAAAAAGCCAGTATCACCTGGTGTGCTTTCTTGCTTTAGAAATTTGGACTCAGCAGTAGTTGAGAGAATTCATTGTGGCCAATTATTTGAATCACAAAGAACCACCTGCTGGATGTTTTCTTATGGTGCAGCCTTGTTTCAACTCCCCCAACTTCTAAGCATGCCCTGCAGCAGTTTCAGAAGGGCCTCCCTTTCTCTCACTCATGCATTTGTCCATCTGCTGTATGTGACTATTTCCATGTTGTATCACGTAGCAGTGTTAGTAATTAGGGTTAGTTTTCATTTTATCTTATTTCATTCAAAATGGATGTGAAACTTACTGGCATACCTAGGCTGCAGCCCCATGCAAGCAAGCAAAAAGCAAAATATTGAAAATGGAAGATAAAGGTAAACACTGGCTAGCAGGCAGCTAAACTCACCCTTTTGTACAGCCTATGGTCCACCAGGGGGCTTTAGACAGTAAAACAACACCAAAGAGCTATTAGCATGTGAGGGTCACAACAGAAACCTTATACATAGCTTTATTACAACAACAACAAAAGAGAGTATAAAGTGGTTCCTTTTTTGGAAAGAAAGGAGTGGTGACAGGGTATGTGAAATGAGCAGGTAGTAAATTCACCAATTTATCGTGAAGTCTAAAAACGTGGGGGTCGTCTGACTTAGCAAAATCCTTAAGAAATGGGACACTTCTTATTGATTCCTGAAGCCATTACCTACCTACCTTTTCTGAGAGGGTGTCATATGAGGTTTTCTATTTTAATGCTTCTCAGGGACAGGACACATGACAGTTTCTCTTAAAGTAATATTTAGTACCACAGAATGGAAACAGGGCTATGTTCATCGTAGGGAAAAGAGGAGCTTGGACTTTCAGTTCTATCGATATTCAGGATACAGGGATGGGAAGAGACTACGGATCTGACACAGTCGGCATCTAAAGGTCATTAAAATTTGCCTGCATAATTTTCCTAACCTCTGAACTATTCCAGGGCAAGTAAGGAAAAGAGCCCGTTGGGGTCTTTATTTCATCCCAAACAATGAGTAGGAATTCAGAGTCCATAATCTGATGTTCTCCTCATAACAAACCTTGCCACCCTGAAAAGGTTACTACTAGTTAAAATATGAACCTGAGAAAAGTAATCATGAACTTCTTCTCTACTAGTTTATAAAAAGAGAGCTTTGAAAACAAGAATGAAAGGATTCCTTTGCCCAGTCTACTCTTGGGGGGGGTAGCCTTTTATGCACATACGTTTGTTTAAGTAGCTTACCCTCTCAACACGCCCAGTGTAAACACAGGGCACAGCTTTAGACGAGAAAGAAAAGAAAAGGAGAGTGGGACTTTATGTCAGTTTGCTCATAATGACTAAGGTTACACTACCTATACGTGTTTTCAAAGCTTGAGGAGAAGACTAGGAGAAACAAGGAAAACATGATTTGTGAACATAAGGTTTGTTCAAAGTGGCCTAAGAAAGAGCAATATAAAGCTAATTTTCTTGAAAATAAAATGTCCCGGGAAAGCATTAACTGCAGTCTGGACAGGGCTGGGTAGAATCTTCCTTTGTTTTTCATTTTGCAGGTTGGAGAGGAAGAAGGAAGGAGTGTGAGCACATGTAAGAACCTCTGGAAAAAGGCCTAGGGAAGTCCCAGAGGTTTCACGAACAGAGAAAATCAACCACCCTATCTGGTTGCAAGTACTCTCATGCTGGCAAAGGTAGGACTAGTGGGAGCGAAGAGAGACCACCCTCGGGAAGGCCAGAACGAATGTGATTATGTCACAAGCGCCTCATGTTTTCATCTGCATTTCCTAACAAGACTTCCTAGCTGAGTGTCGACATTGAAATCTCATCGGCTAGCTAATTACGGGAGCAAAGACCCCAGTCATGCGTGGTGGCTGAGAGCAAATGGCTTGCTGAGGCTCAGGAGGTGCGCATTAGCTTCTTCCAAATAGCGTTCTAGTTAGAGAACACCAAATACATCCTAGAGAATGTTCTTTTAAAAGCTTTTATCGTTGTTAACGTGTGGCTCTGTGCACCTTTCCTTTTAACATCATAGAATTCTTTTGTTAACAGAAGTGAAAGTACAAATGGCCAGTTAACCCCTATTAAGTCTCAAAGTCCAAAGAGTTTCCAAGCTAGCAAGCAGACAGGTTCAGGAGTAAGAAAAACCGAAGTAAAAGGGAACCTCTGTGGAATCGAATGGAATCTGGACACTCAGGCCTTAGGTACAATGAAACAGGAAGAGGAAATGAGACGTCAAAGAGCTTGCTTCAGAGTTTGGCTCTGTAAACCGCACAGCTCCTGATGCGCAGGGAAGCATCAGGGAAGTGACGACACCACACAGGGTCATCCAAACCCAGCTCAGGAGGCCCCTGGCCCAGATGTCAGACCAGAATGCTAACCTAATCCAGAAACCAAACGATCTCACCAGCTCCCCCCAAATCTAAGGAAAGAGCCTAGTGTTCACAAAGGAAGCTCAAATTTGAGGGAACAAAGAGAAACCCCTCTAGCCAGTTAGCGGGAAGCTGTCCTGTCTCCAGGGAAGGCCCCGGTCACGGGAGCCTGTTTCCTCCCAGTTGAAAATGCACCTCTCAGCTCAGCCGGGTTCCCCTTCCTGCGTATCTCCAGCAGAGGGCACCAGCCATTCAGTCGAAGAACTTGGAGGGAGGGAGGGAGTGGTTTTCTAGCCCTTCCTTGAGAACAGGAACTCTGTTTATTCTCTGTGTGGACACACACTGGCACGGGGAGGGCTGGGGGTGAAGAGCGTGCTGCCATGTGGCACACAAATAAGAGGTTAAAGACAAACGGGAATTAAAAGCTAAGCTGTCCTCACACCCAAACTAAGACAGAAAGTCACCGGCCTGAGCCTCCACTGCTCGCTCTTTACCACGGAATCTGAGACGGGTACCCGGGTGCCCGGAGCGGCAGCTCAGTCCCTAGTCAGAGAGCTCCGCTCGCCTACAGCGATTCGGGATGTTTCCTCTGATGAATGCCGGGACTCGCTCTGCACAGGCGGTCACGCGTGGTTCGGAGGGTTAGGGCGGTGGTGCGGCTCTCGACGAGCAAACGTCCAGGTGAGGAGGAGGGTTACCTGTGGCGGCAGCGGCGCAGGAACCTCATTATTTTTCGAGCAGCTTGGTCCTGCTTTTTGGTTAGCAAACTGCTCCTGAAAAAGCCGGAATATCACCGTCACAAGAAGGGTCCCGTGAGGCTTGATGTGCACACGCTGAAAACGGGGTAGCAGTGGCAGAGGGCCTTTAATGAAACAGTTCAGGTAGCAAACCCCACAGCAGGGCAGGCCTGGGCAGTGCCGGCAGGGAAGGGAGGAGGGGGTGGCAGCCCCTCCCCCTGGCTGTGAGTGACACAGGGCCCAAGTGCAGCATACGGTGACGCTCGGCTGTCCTTTCACAACCCCTCGTGAGCTCGTTTTCTGGAAGAATGCGTCCCGGCCTTACACAGGCTTTCTCAGGGTCGAAGCTGGTTCGCCCGAGTCTGATACTCTCCTGAACTTCTTCTGTCGGCTCTCTCACTGCGCTCAGAGTCCCCATCACGCTAAGATGGACTAGCTGGCCTCTAGCTATCCTTCCGAGGTCTCGCACGCAGGGACACTACAATTCAGACTGCCCAACGGAGGAGCGCCCTCTCTGAGCAGGAACTTGGGTCCTGCCAGATTCCCACCCCAGCTGAAGTCGGGGTGGGGGGGGGAGACCAAAATAACTGGGGGGTGGGGGGCTTGGAGACAGAAGCTGCTGAACAAAGACGGACTGACAGCCTGGGTATCACTACACGCAGTCACAGCATCTAGCGTGGTCTGTCAAGAAAGTCCCCGCGACAAGCGTGTCACCCCTCACATCGGGGCAGCGCCATTCCTTCCATGATGCCAAGGCTCTCTTCCCTAGACAGCTTCGCCCCTGTGACAGACAGCTCAACCCACCTGAGTTTCTGCTGTACGATGACGGCTGTTCGGCGAGCCTGCCGTCTCTTGCCACACTTCTTATAACTCCGGTAATACTTCTGGATCAGCACAGCAGCACGCCGGCTCTGCTGAAATTTTTTTTGTTCGTAGTAACTTCGGAATTTACTCTGGATTAGGATGGCAGCCTGTGTCATCTTTTTATAAAGTGCATACTGCAGGGAAACAAGAATAAGCAGAACAGTAACAACAGGAGCCCACAAGTCTGGGTGTCCTCTGAGCGTGCCGGGGAAGGCAAGGAGGGAAACACCTTTCTTTCTCCTTGATCATCACAGTCTCTGTCTTGGGTTCAATCACCAAAGAGGCAAACTAGGAACCTCTTCACCTATCTTTCCCAAATGCAAAATATTAGTTTAAGGGTTGCCTTCAGACAATGTATTGCTTTAAATGTGCTTTTTCCCCACAAACATCAAATATTTTGCCCTTCTTGAAAAAACATTTTTAAAATAGCAATATGTGTAGACATTTAGGAATAATAAAAGCGTATTTAGAAAGTACAAATCCAAAGTTTAATATTTACTATCCGATTCTGAAACATTTTAAGATAACCTTTTTTATGCATCCCAATCACCACCACACACAAGCCTACTTAGAGCAGTCAGCAGCTGATTCCTAACTACAGTTCCGTAGGACACATTTCTGAGTTGCAAGGTCCCAAATACAAGGCTTATCATGAAACGCTGACACCTTTAAGACATTTAACCTGCAAAAAGTTAATACTCATAAGACCGACACAGGGGTGAAGCCATGAAACCGGGAAAAGTGTCACAGGACCGGGGAGCCCTCCGCCCAGCCTGCAGCACTGCACGAGGGAGGGATGAAGGCACGGGAGAAGGAGTTCTCTTCCATTTCCGTCTCTAGGCACTAAAATTACAGAGCTCTCCATATTTAAAAAATGCGATGTCCAAACTGCTAATGAAATACAATAGGACTCTGGGGACAAGAAGTCACAAGGAAGCACTTTGCTTGCAAGAAGGCAACTTACCATCATGGGGAAAAATACTCCTGAGAAAATCCCTGTGCCTAAGGTCATCTCTGCCTGTACTGGAGTGATGGGAGGGAACTGACTTCTCAGAATGTTCAAGACACAAGACCCTTGTGCAAGAATCCTCTTTAGTCTCGTCTGACCTGCTTTCCGTTTTCATTTGCCCAAAAATCTTTTAGGACGGCGCTGTAGCCTACAGGGCTCCTGTGGTTTTCAGCCCCCTGGCCCATGCACACTGCACATTCAGAAACTACCGGGCCACAGTGAGGGAACACCAAGAGGAAGGGAGATGCACTGAGTGGCTCGCTGGGCTCACAGGAATCGGCTTGGATGGATTCTTTAGACTGACATGGCCAAGAAAATGTCCGATGACTGTTAATGCCAAAACCCACTCCAACTGAATAACCACGTGGCCCCCGGAGATGCACTGTGGTTAGGCGGCCTGGAAAGGGGAGTACACCTGTTTCCTGACCCTGCCGTCTTAATGGCCCCTTCTTGTAGCTGGTGATGGGTGTGAAGTTTGTGACTTTGGTGGAATGGTTTGTGAGGGGACTTGGGTGTCATTACCTTCAAGGCTATCCATGTCAGCTTGGGGAGAAACAGAAAATACAAGATTAACGTTAGATTGCTGAATAGAAGGAAATTAAAAACCAGAACCAATAAAACTCCCAACCGGAAAAAAAAAAAAAAAAAGTAAAGTAATCTGGCTACATTAATGCCTTCCATCTTCCGAAATACTTGTCTTATACTTGTCAGTATTTCAAAAAATCATGTCTTCCGTTTTTCTGGTTGTAGACAACACTTCTCTGGGGGGGTGGTTTTAAAAACCAAAACCAAAACTCAGACTCATCTTTTGGAATAAATACCTGTTGTAATCACAGACTTGAAACTTTATGTGTCTCGCTTTAATGTGAGGACAGAGCCAGGTACCGCGGTGCCAGCGTTTACACAATAAACCTTCATTCTCTGGGATCGTGAACTCAACCGGCTAGAAGCTGAAGACTCCTCCCAGCCCTCCCCCTTTCACTAGTAGCGCTAATCCGAGAGAAACGCAAGAACGTGGCGACCCATATCAGAAATCAAAGCGAGCCCTGTATCGTAACAAGAGAACACAATACCACACTTGCACATGACTATTACACATCTCAGCATATATTATTCCTTAAGTAAAAGTTTAAAACCTACCTAGAGCACCGTCTACTGAAAGGTTCTGGGATCTACTGACAGGCCTGAACTTCATCATACGGGCCAGTCAACACTCAATTAGGTAAGTTTTTATATTTTCTAACCACCCAGGCGGTTAGGAAAACCTAATATTGTCTTAATTTCTCTGAGCCTCAGCTTCTTCATCTTAAAAGGGACATAAAATTGTTTATCGCCGGTCATTGTAGGGAACAGGTGTGATGAGATGGTGTGTCTGCAAGCTCTAGTACATCCTCAGGGCCCCATGCACTTTAGTGCCCTTTCCCAGGTGATGGCAGTTAGGTAACCTGACAGGGTGTTTTGGAAATGGTAATACTGAGTGAAAGAACACTTAGCTATTCTTCCTGCATCTCTTAACTAAGGAATGCAAAAGCCGTTTAAGATGTTCTGGGCGTCTTAAGATTTTCAGAGATTTTTCCCAGTCTTCATTTGAAAACGGATGGGAAGAAGCTGAAAGGAAAAGTGGCTCGAGAATAGATAATTTCTATAACTCAGGGTCAAAGATAACTGCCATTATTTCTCTTCTCTGATCACCACATCAAACTCTCTAGAGTTCTTCAATTACTCCAGGTACAATTACCGGAACACAGAGCCTCCCTTCAGACGCAAATAACTTTCTCTGTGTCACACCAACATCTCAGATAGCTCATAATACTGAAAGGCCAACAATCTGAACAGAAGTTATTTTGTGAGGTAAGTTTAACTGCAGATGGTTTTTTGGTTCGTTTTTTACCCCCCGCTCTGGAACATTTCCCTCTGGTTTTTGGTCAATGCAATTCAAAGTCTGTCTTTGAATCAGGAGCTGGACATAGCGCTCTCTAGCCAGACCACATGCTACAATCCTCGGGGGCCTGTTGCTGTTTGGACAAGCTGCACTTCCTACTGCGACCAAAGCTGTGGTTTACCTGTTTATATTTCCTGTAACAACGCTGAATGACAGCGGCGGCCACTTCCTGCTGCTCCCGCAAGGGTCGGCCCTGAAGGGTAAAGTGAAGGAAAAACACAATTTAGCGTAAGAAATAACAATTTGGTGTAAGAAATGTCAACTTTCTTCAGACTTAAGTTAGAATTACTACTCATTTATAACTTTTACGGAGGCCCCAGGTTTACCAAAATACAGTGGTAATTAATTACAAGGAGAAATTAGGAAAAAATGAACTTACAGGATAAATCTGTGATTCTTGCTTCTAAATAGAACTATGATATTTGGATGTTAGGAGGTCTAAAAATATTCATTTTCCAAGTATTTAACAAATCAGGTATTGTACCATTTCCCCTTACATGCTGCCGGATTTCCATTGTCTTTCCCAATATAACCCCAACTACTCTAACTTTGGGGTCGATGATTATTGGCTTTTAACACCTTCTCGGGGTGGTCAAAGACTCCTTTGAGAAACTGTGGAAGGCCACGGACCCTCTCCCACCAAAAATGCACACACAAGCTTTAGCATAAGATTTCAGGGCTGCCTACAGTCAGTCCCAGGCCCTTAAGAACCCCTGCTTTAGGTTATAAATTCCTGTGGCAGAGGTATCAACTTCCTCTATACTAACTACATAATAAGTATCTGTCATCATTACCAAGAATAAATTGAGATGGTGATAACTACACCCTACTGGTCAGTTTTATTTCCCTAAAGCTTCTGAAAATTATTAATAATTTCATGTGGCATAATAATTCCAAAGAACAATTCTACAGACTCAGCAAAAAAAGGAAAAAAAAAAGGCTTAAGTTTTAGTTTGGATGATTCTGACTTCCATCTGTGTTCCCCAATCTTACGAATGTCACATCAGGACTCTGTTCCACTTTACCTTGTATTTCCGGAAAGCTGTCTGGACAAGCCTGGCAGCTTCATAGAGTTCCCTTTGCTCGTGATCAGACAGAGTCAGCTGAGCAAATTCATTCTCGACCTTTTCACTGGTAGATGCGCTCAGGAATTCCGACCAATCTGCTGCTGAGGGAAGGCTGGGTTTCTCAAAAGCTATTTCACCGACTGGGGAGCCAACAGGGCTCAAGCTGGTATTAGAAGAAGGGGTTAGAGGCTCGTTATATGCACTTCTGAAACAAGAAGAGACACAAGGGAGAGAGACCGGTGACTGATCTGCATGATCCATTACATAGTGCTGAGTAATGAGACAAGGGCCACTGTGAACTATTAAGAATATGCCTTCATTCAGTCCAGTAAGTTGCTAAACACATCCCGTACTTTAACTGTCCTTCAGGTAGTAAGTTCCTACCGAGTACCTATTATGAGTTTAGCGCTATGCTAAATACTAAACCCACTGAAGACGCTGCCCGGCCCTCGTGAAGCTTCAGGTGAATTGGGAGGGAAACATCACGGGACGTGACCTCACATGCGCTACAAGGGGAGAAAAGTCACAGAAGAGGTGAGGACGTGAGCAGGGACCTGAAGGTGGTGAAGGAACTTGTCCCAGTGTTTCCTTCCCGAGGTCTCCTGTTACACAGCATTCATCAGCTCTAATTAGCCTCCCACGCCTCCCACTGAGCCCAGGCATTTACGGCGGTCCGTGAACCATGGTCTTCCACTGACCTGATCTGGGTGGCGCTCGGCAGACGATCGACATCGGCTAGGTACCTGGCCAGCCAGCTCATGGTACTGCTGATGGCTACAGTGTCTGCTCTTTCCAACGCCGAGGGCTCCGTGGGCACAAAACTCTCCTGCTTGATTCGATCAGGTGTGGCTTCAATGATGTGCTCTGCCAAGGTCATCATGTTCACCTGGAATCCAGAGTTCACAGAAACACTCAGGTTAAGAGGGAACCTTAGACGGTATCCAGCCCCTCCCCCACCCACCCACGCTTGGGAAGAAAAAAGAAGGGAGGGCGGCCTCCCACCTCAATCCAGTGCACCCAGTATCACTGTAAGGTTTTATACAATTCAGCCAAATACTCTGAGACCTGACTCCCTCCAAATCATAGTCTGGCCAAAAACCGTTAGTCAAGTCTTAGAGGACTTCTGCCTTGTGCCTACTCTCTGCTCTCAGCTAGGATCAGCCATTTAATGATACTGTGACTGGGCAGTTTTTCAGCAAGTTGTCACGTTACCATGGTGACGCTGCAGTTTACCTAAAGGACGGCCACCGCCCCCCCCCCCCCCCCTTGGCCTTGCCTAGAGACCCCCAGTCCTGTAGAGGGCAGCAATGAGCCAATCTGGGGCCAGCTCATGGTTGACCCAAAGGAGTTAATCAATCCTCTTCTTGACCCCCCACCTTCCTGCACACTGAGAGGAGTCTGGACAACGAGACTCTACAGACATCTGCTGTGGGGTTTGGGGCAAAGTTTTTTTTTTTTAATTTTTTTTAAAGATTTTATTTATTTATTTGTCAGAGAGCGAGCGAGAATAAACAAGCAGGGGGAGCGGCAGGCAGAGGGAGAAGCAGGCCTCCCACTGAGCAGGGAGCCCGACCCAGGACCCTGATCCCTGGACCCTGGTATCATGATCTGAGCCGAAGGCAGACACCCAACCGACTGAGTCACCTAGGTGTCCTTGGAAAGTTTTGCTTTCCTGATGAACAGTATCGATGCCCTTGGCTCTTCCCCTCTTTTCCTGCCTTGACTCCAAACAAGCTCCAGCATCCCCATTGTAACCATGAAGCACAAAAATCAAGAGGAATTGTTGCCAAAAAGAACAAAAAGCTCAGGGAAAAGTCTGGGCCCCTGTTGGCATCACTGAGCAAATGAACCTCTGGACTTCTTGTCATGTGAGAAAAAAATCAATCATTTGTTATTAAACCGCTATAGTTAGGCTGCTGACACCTACACCCCAAGTACATTCCTAATAGAATTAGGAATCCTCAGAGCTTAGTCTGCACTGCCACGAATTTATTTTATTTTTTTATTTTATTTTTTTAAAGATTTTATTTATTTATCAGAGAGCGAGAGACAGAGGCAGGCAGAGGGAGAAGCAGGCTTCTTGCTCAGCAAGGAGCCCGATGTGGGACTCGATCCCAGGACCCTGGGATCATGACCTGAGCCGAAGGCAGACGCTTAACCGACTGAGCCACCCAGGCGTCCCTGCACTGCCACGAATTTAATTAAACTTGGAGATACAGTCTTGTTTTTAAAAGATTTCCTTGCATGTCTCTTGAAAACAGAAATTGAAATAATAGCAGTTTAAGTTTTTAAGTGAACTGAAAGTATTCTGAAAGGATCTATACAAAGGTGACAAAATGCTGATCTTACAACGTGGATGAACCTCCAAAACAGTATGCTAAGTGCAAGAAGCCAGACACAGAAGCCTACAAATGTTAGGATGCCATTTATATGAAATTTCCAGAAAAAAGCAAAACTCTGGGGATAGAAATCAGATCGGTGGTTGCCTAGGGCTGGGAGAGGGGAACAGAGATGACCATAAATGGGCATGGGAACCTTTCTGGGGGTGATGGCAGTGCTCCAAAGGGCACACTGACATTCATCACCCGGAGCGCTTAGAGGGGGTGAACTTTATGGGATGTGAGGTATACCTCATGAAGCTATTAAAAACAGTTATCTTGGGTAATTTTCAAATTTTCAATAAACAAGAAGAGTTCTTGTAATAGGAATAAAAATGAAAAAAGTATTACAGCCTTTCTTTTCCCCTCCATATAAGCCTCTTGACTTGTGACTCAAGCAGCAGGAAGTCCTAGCCTGATATCTTTTCCATGAAAGTATTTGAGTATTTTATTAAAAGCCAAGTGGAATTTCTGGAGACTGAAGGCTATAACTCTACAGTCGTGCCCCAAAGTCCTTCGTTTTATGAACACGTATCAGTGTGAGAACACCTCAACATCACCACAGTGCCACACGTTGGACTGCCACACACAACGCTTTTTACCGGCTAGCTGCAAAAAGCAAGGAAATTTAAATGACTTGAAACAAAACAATAACATTCTAAGCAGCGGGACCTAAAAAGTCACGTCATCTGCTTCTAAATTTCTTGTATTGTGGTCAGAGAAGATAGCCTTTAAATGTGCAGCTTTGGGTTTTGTTTAAATTCTCGTTGTGTTCTAACATATGAGCAATTTTCATGAATGTGTCTAGGATATCTAAAAAAAAAATCATCTGTATACTTGCTAAGTGTATGAATTACACACATCTGCATAATTACATACAAGTATATCCTGCATTAAATCTATCACATATATTAAATATATCTATGAAAGCCACCTTTCTAATAGCTTTGTTCTGTGTTTTCAATCTTTTCTGTATCTACTCACTCTGACAAATTCTGAGATAAATGTCAATCTCACACTGTGATTATGAGTGTGGTGCCACATTGCTTTGTATTCACTGGTTTTGCTTTAGTATTCAGAGGCTGTGTTGTTAGTTGCACAACTATTGATGGGTTGTATCTTCTCCACAAATGATACATACATTACTTGCCTTAAATTATACTTTGTATCCTTTTTCTTCTTATACTCATTTGTCTGTTCTATCTTTGCCCATAGTTTCCTGTTCATTCTTTCTGTGTCATCTCATTTGGGTTCTGTCTTTTACAAGCGGAACATAGTATGTTTTGCCTTCTTTTTTTTTAATCCAATCTGAGAATCTTTTAATAAAATTGCCAGTTAGCAAAGTGGGAATGAATCATGTTTGAAAGTATTCCTATAATATTATGTTTTCTGCTTATTATTTCTGTTGCTTCACTTTTACTTTTTACCATTCCTGAACTTTTCCCAAATGGGCCCCAATTCCCCCTTCCCCCCTTCAATGACTTACAAATTCTGTAGTCTGTTTCTATGCAATCTATTAACCTGACATTTCTAACAAGCCTATTTCAGCCTACGCTTATCTATCAGTGAGGTCTGCGACCTTCCCCAAGTAAGAGAGCTGCTTCACCTTCTTCGTTTCCTTACCTCCCTGGTTTTACTAAAATAATAAGAACATTAGTTCTAAAACAGGATTCCTCCTCTATTTCAAGCAACCCTTCCTAACAAGTGCCCTGTGTGCACAGTCACACTATCAGTAAGTCCTCAGATGCATCAGTTTTACTGGTTTATCGTCCACTCTTCCATGAACTCTGGCTCAAATTACTTCATTATTTCTTGAATTACTTAATTATTTTTTGTTGTCATTTTTTGCATTTGGCTGAATACGTCTTGAGACTGTTGCTCTTAAGGTACCAAAATATTACTCTCTCGAGGCTCTGTGAAAATGTGAAGTAGAACTTCTCAGGTTATTTTGTATTTCCTGCACCAATCCTATTTTAGCAAAGGCCAACTGCTACCAAGCTCTGCTATCCGATGGTTATTTAAACTTAATCGAACGTACGTAAAATCAGAAATCCAGTGTCCTGAGTCACACTGGCTACATTTTCTGCTACGGAGACCACATGTGGCCAGTGGCTACCATAACGGGCAGTCAGTAGAGACACCGAACGTTTCCATCACTGCCCAGCGCACCAGTGAACAGCACAGGTTTTCACAGTCGGCATGCTCATAAATACTGTCCTAGATTGCTTAGTATTGATATGCGGTGTGGCCAAATCCAGCCAGCTACCTGTTTGTGTAAATAAAGTTTTATTGGCACATAGCCACTCTCGCTCATTCAGTATCATCTAGGGCTGCCTTTGTGCTCTAAAGGCAGATTAAATAGTCACGACAGTCTGTATGGCCCACAAAGCCGAAAATATTTACCATTTGGCCCTTGACAGAAAAACTTTGCCAACCTCTTGTCTAACAGGTTCTTGGATTTCCCTGGCACGCCTCCCCACAACTGCAGTGGTTGGCAGATAAATAGTGGAGGCCCCCCCTTTCCTATCTGTGCTAACAGCTGGGGTGGCAGGAAGGGGATCCTGGGATGAAGGGGAGCAGCTCAGCAATCGGACCTCTCCCTAGGAATGCCGGCCAGGATAGGGGCTCTCCAGGCCCCTCCCTCCTGTGGCATTTCTATAGGCCTAGAACCTTACTGAATTGCTCGTGGGACTTTTTTCTCTGTTACATTTGTTTTGGGTTATATAGGAACTAGGAAAGAGAGGAAGTCAAACTCATCCTCTTTGCTCATTTGGTCCTCCCCTATGTAGTATATTTTTTTTTTTTAAAGATTTTTTATTTATTTATTTGAGAGAGAGAATGAGAGAGAGCATGAGAGGGAAGAGGGTCAGAGGGAGAAGCAGACTCCCCGCCGAGCAGGGAGCCCGATGCGGGACTCGATTCAGGGACTCCAGGATCATGACCTGAGCCGAAGGCAGTCACTCAACCAACTGAGCCACCCAGGCGCCCAAAACTAAGACCTTTTTTGTTTTGTTTTTTAAACATTTTTTAAAAGATTTTA